TAATTGTAGAGGAGAGAAAGTGAGTAGAGTGTTTTCTAAAACAAGAAGCATATTCTCCATTATGTAAAAGAGAAAAATTAGCTTTTAGAAAACAACACCTAGGTTTCACCAACTTCTATCTGGCTCCTTTCTTAACCTGATGGGATAGTTGGAGAAGCAGAGGTAGTCATCATTCTCTAGAAGGATCCCTTAGTCCTTCCTCCATTTCCTGCAGATTCTAGACATCCATCCAGGGGACTCTGGACATAAACCTGGAACGTGCTAGCAGGCATCGCAGGGCGTGGAAGTCCTCCTATAAGAGAAGAGCTGGGTTGGGCCGGCCCGGTGGCGCACTACTACAGTGCGCCGCTTGAGAGTGTGGCGGCGCTCCCGTCCGAGGGTTCGGATCCCACATACAGACCGGTTCCCGCTCACTGGCTGAGCGAGGCGCGGGGGCAACACCAAGGGTTGCGATCCCGTTGCCGGTCACTGGTCCGGTATGGGCGCGACACTGAGGGTTGCAATCCGTTGCCGGACACGGAAAAAAAACAAAAAAAAAAAAAAGAGAAGAGCTGGGTTGAAGTGACACCAGAACCACAGGGATTTACTGTCGTTCCTCATTTTTATGGAGGGAAAAGCACATTCCTGCACTAAAAGTGTCTAACTCAGGCATGATTGTATAGTTAAATGGCTGGTTAGTCATTCTCTCCCTGGGCTCACAGTTTCTTCCACAGCCCTATGAAAATAATAACTGTCATTACTGTTTGATTTGTTCGCTTGTGTCTTAGCTAACTCCCCACTAGACTGGAAGCGTCATGAAGAAGGGGCTGGTATCAGTCTCACACCCCAGAGCCGAGAGCAGCTCTTTGTTCCCTGAAAGCCACCCAAGCATTGGAGCTGCATGTACAGCGTCACATCTGCAAGGCGGGGGACGTGAACCCCATGTGTATGGTGCAAGCTGACAGTGGGCCCTCTCAGAGTGGCTCTACAGGGCTCACCCCTGATAGCACCGGCTGGATGTCTCCCATCGTCCACTGCAGGGACATGTATGTGACAGTGGCATGGATCGCTCCTAGGTGGATCCTCCCACCCTTTTGTCCAGGGTGCCTCGGTCATCAGGAGAGGTGTCCCTTTATGGGCCCATCCCACACAGTTTGTCCTGTGGCAGCTTCTTGTTCTCTATTTACAGCAGTTGGTTTTTCCTTTCACTTAGAGATCGTGTCTGTCCAGACCTTCGCCTTCTCTCTCCTGTTCCATTTCCCACTTTTTTTCTTCCTCCTTCCTTTAAGCTCAGTCCTATTTAGTACTTCAGAGAGGAATAAACCAGCCATACAAACAGACCTACTTTGGCCCTTGGAGTCTTGTTCTTGTTCATTACGAGTACAAGAGTAGGAGAAAGTGGCAGTGGACGGTACA